CACGCACTCAGAGGCGGTTCTAGTGGGAGAAAAGCAGGTCATACCTTGCACAGCAGCGGCGGTCCCAACAGAGGATCTCGCAACCCTCTTCGCGACGATAGGCGGCTGAGACAGCGCGGCAGCGAACACCGGATTCGACTCCAAAACAACGGTGGGAACGCGGCCGGGATCGGCGGCATCAGCCGTGACAGCCGCCCCATCGCTTCCCACAACAAGGGAAGGCGCCCTCGCCTCGCTCGACATCGGCTGGCGAGCAAGAAGCCGATGTCACCGTTGCGCCGGATGAGTTCGCGCAACCGGCACCAGGTCAAAGCAACGCGCCCAATCGCGAAACGAACAAGAGAGCAAAAAGTAAGAACAGAGACAACCGCACAAAAGCGAAGGAAAGGGGCAAAATCTTACCTGGCGCATCGCTCGGACTATATAGACAAACGTCGGCGAAGAGAGTCGGCGTTCCTCCAAGACAAGGGAGGGAAGAAGACGAACTATTCATAAAAGAGGAAACCAAAATGGCGGAAAAGCTCCCCCCCTAGAGCTACTTAAAGCAAACTTCGGGTCTCCAACCACCCGAAGTGACGTTTTCGCCTAGTCATGTCAAGGCGCCACAATCGAGGTTTGACACGTGGCGGCAATTCGCCGAAATCAAAAGTCGGGGGCGTCCTTAGTGGCCCCTCAGACGTTCCCGCTTCGTACCCTCGCGTCCAGGGGCAGGCGGGTTGTCATGGGTATGGCGTCCATATGACCGCTTAATGATGACAAGATGATCGTTTAGCCGCGAAAGCCCAAAGCCTCTCACGCCTAAGGGGCAAATGTTGGGCCAATCATTAAGACACATGGGCCACCAAGCCCATAAACACCAAGAGGCCCAGAAAGGCGAGCAAGCCCAACCCAGATGGGCCCGAAAATACATCGGACAGTGGTCCAAAGGCGGTCTTCCGCGCCTCTGACCAGGAAGAACCGCCTGACATCGTCTGATCGGGTCCCTGGGTAACCGCCCGACACTCGGGAACAAAGTTCGTCTGACACCTCAGTACGAAGGCTGACAAAGGTACGATCCTGACAGCCTCCTGAGAACAGGTCCTTATGCGACCTTGGACGCCCGACAGGGCATTAATTATCCTCACTCCGACATCCACTAGTATAAATACCCACTCATGGGACACATTTGGGGTAACTTCTATCTACTCCATTCTCTCTCTTATTCATTATATCCACTTCTCTCACTAACTTAGGCATCGGAGGAGGTCCCAGGGCTCCCCTGAGGACCTTTGTTGCAGGACTTCGAAGGTCGCCTCTCATTCTCCCAAGACCGCACGAAGACTGTGAGGCCTCGCAAACCGCCCGGTACATTCCAGGCATAAACAAGTGGTTTCTACCAAAATAGTTTATCGAACGAATCCAAAACTGGTGAAGCATGATATCTTACCTTCCAACCAATTACTTGATCATGATATCCTTATTTTTCAACCAACTCATTAGAACTAGATGTAGGCCCGGCCTATTGGCCGGGATGAATTATTATATTTATCCAATTTGACTTTTATATTTAAATTTTTATGGATATTTTTTATGTTCTTGTAACATATTTTAAGTAATAATTTGTGATATTTATTGTGTGACTTAAGTACAGGTGTATGATAGTTTGATCTATTAACTAACTTCTCAACTAATCACACAATACTTGATGAATAGTTGTTTGTATTGAATTTGAACATAAATGATGGTTCAGGCTAGCATACTTTGACAATATGCTCGTCCAGTTTTGTTATTTAAATAATGAATTAATCAGAATTTGAAGCATGATACTATATCCTAACTTCTAATGAGTCAAACCTAGTTTCCAATTCTCTAATCCAAACCATAAGATTCATATAATCTTAAAATGAAAATCAATGATTCTAATTCATTGAAATTATAAAAGTACAAATAATAAACGTGAACACAAATGTATAGCGTACGCCTATCGAACGCTAGCCTTTGCCCATAAACGATATATTTTTCTTAAGTTAAAAAACTCATTTCTTAATCATTGGATATTAAACTGTGGCAAAGTCGATTATGGACATATGCTATGTATACTAATCAACAAATGTTTTATATTTACATTAATACTATCCATGGTAGTCAAATTATATAATATACAATGTGAATTTGGGGTGCATGTAAACTTAGTGCAAATTGGACAATGAATATGTTAGTTTAACTACTTAATTTAAATTTGGGAAAAATAACAAAACAAAACGTAAAAGAAAACATCCAAAAAATAGGTGTTGAAGTATATATTAATTAAGGAACGGATCACCGCCTCCGTTACTATAAATAAAAAATAAAAAATAAAAAGAAAATGCAGAACACCGAAAATTGCGGGTAGAGCTCGTAGGGGTGCGTGGTATAGCGGCTAATCCAAAAAGCCTTTCATTATTTTTATAGATCCACTTCTGCAATAATACATAATCTTGGCTCCTTACATCAATGTATATAACTCCATTTGTTTTCCTCTGATGGCACGAAAAAACATTTCCCCTTCTTTTCCTTCTTCAAGTTCTTGTGTGCTTTTCGAATGGCAACATGGAGCTCCCTTCGTGTTGCATAGTCGGCCGTCAATGGGGCTCATTTCTTCCCATACAATTGTGGTTTTTTTCTTTCCTTTTCCTTCTTATTGTATTCTTGGAGGAAATATTAACATTTTTTCAGCCGTTAGGACATCGGTGCTATCCAAGGCCTAGCGCTATCAATGGAAAGATTTGTCTGTGGTTAATATTTGGGATGATGATTGGAATTACGACTTTCGGAGCAACCTCAACTCGATTAGAAGCTGGTACACTTGTCTTTTTGAACTTCGGAAGAATCAGAAGGTTGACTTCCTAAACATATATGGCGGCGATTTTTGTTGAAGTGATGTACAAGGATGAGATTTACTCTTTGGAGGAAGCACAAGATGCAAAGAATACTGTGGAGTTGAATCTTACTGTGGATTATGATTACCGCCACGGTTTTGCTAGATTCACTTTCCCCTCCTTTTTTTCTAGAGTTTCTCACTAAACTCATCGTGGGTGGCCTGCTGATCGACCACCATGAGCTCCAGCGGGTAAGATTTCCACACGTCACAAGTTTATCGTTCCACCGCTGCACATTTAGGGTGCATAGGGTTTTGTCTGAGTATGATGACAAAGGTATATATATTGATCAGCTCATGTTGTCGACCGATGGATTGCACGCCAAAGCTTCAGAGGTTTGACGCATTTGATTGTTTCTGGAACCGGGGATATGGGGGGTCGCATATTGATGGACCAGAATTGGTCATTTTGCACATACGAGATGACCACAGATGACCCAAACGATCTGGTCAAAATATCTGCACCGAAATATCTGCACCGAAACTACAACAATTTACCTGGGAAGCGGCCTTTCCTGCCGAGAAGTTAAAGAAGGGTTGATATGCCTTCCATCCAGCAAGCCACAGTGGTGTTTTGGTGCTGAAAACGCCATTGGCCTATAGTTGACCAAAAGAGCTCTTGGGGCTCTTAATTCATGCGTTTCACAATGCAAAAATGATTGCACTTCGTCTGGCATTTATAGACATATAAAAGACGAGTCAAATTAGTCTTTTAGTTTATAGTTTGGGCCATTTAAGATATTAACCTTCATATTTGTATATATAATAAGCTAAACCTTCAAAATCGCCTATAAATGATGTTGATATGACTTGAATCGGACTATCAGCCGCTACGACTGGTAATCGGGGGTCTCGCTTGATATATAACCGTTTGGGCCTGGTATGTAACCGTTTCCTTTGGCAGATTGGATTAGGTTTAGACCCACATGGAGAAGTACTATAAATACTTCTCATACTCCTCTGTAATCTCCTTGATATAGTGAACTCGGCTCTCTCTCGCCCGTGGACGTAGCTAACACACATCGTGTTAGTGAACCACGTAAATCGTGTGTCGTGTTTTCGATTCTCGCTTTCGTATTCTTGCTTTGTCGATTCCGGCGATTTCCCGATCCGTAGCAGCGCGTTTATAACAAATGAAAATGCCAATATATATTAATCTAATACGATCTAATCACCTATCATTATATAAACTCTTGAGACGAGTTGATCTTAAACACGAGATAACCGACCCGATATTGTACAACACCAGCCCAACCCCCAAGAACCTTTTAGCATGCTAGAGGAACTGATATGACTTTGTTGAGAAACTTCCAAATTGCTTCTTTAAAAAAAAAAAAAAAAAAAGAATGTTCGTTGAAAAGCGGCGGAAGTAAATCGAGAAACTACCGTTGAGTCGTGGCTCGAGCGCTAAAAGACAAAATAGCCTAAACCGAGTAACGGATGATTGGATGAGCTGAGCCCCTCGCTCACTGACTCGGCCGTCAGAACATAGCGCCGTTATGTGCTCTCTTTTTATTGAAAGCGACAAGTCTACAACCATGCAATGCAAATACCACTTGACTCTTTTGACTTTTGACCATTACAAATAGAACAAATTCCATGCACCTAGATTGTGGATGACTTGAGCGATCTCCAACTTAAAAAAATGTTGGACTACTGTCGAGTGATCTACAACTGACATTGCGTGGTCGTAATTTTGAAGCAGGTTGTTCGACCGTGTACCGAATTATCTTTTGTATTCCTCGCGACTTTTTGAGATCTTTGAAGTCAACCGAATCATTTTTTAATTCGTCGAACTTTCGGACGATCGTAACTATATGCTCTCCGCATTCCAATCGCGCATCGCAAATATTTTTCGAACTGATTTGCATACAGCTTATCCTTTCACAGATTATACGATTTCTTGCATAACTTTTCAACGAATACAATCTACTAGAACTACACAATGCTCTCTCTTCATGCCCTTCTACACCTTCAAATCTAATGACCATATATATATATGATCACGAGGATGAATGCTTGTCTATCTAATTTTTATTTTCCTCCGGTGAGAAAAAAAAAAGAAAAAACTGTGGTCCTTAAAACACATTGAATGCTTATATCATCAGTCCATCATCATCAACTCCCGCAACTCCTCCTCTTCAAAGATTTCGAACATCCAGTCCTCCTCTCCTCCTCCTCCTCCTCCTCCTCCCGCTCCGCCCTCTTCGCCGCGGTTCGCCGCCGCCGCCGTAGTTTCCACGGCATCCTGAATTGGCGCGGCGTACTCCGCGGCGGGGAAGTTGGTCTTGGCGGCGGCCCCGCGGAACTCGATGGCCTTCCTGTCGTACGCCCTGGCGGCTTCCTCCGCCGTCTCGAACGTGCCGAGCCAGACCCTGGCGGCCTTCTCCGGGTCTCGAATCTCCGCCGCCCATTTCCCCCACGGCCGCTGCCTCACCCCTCTATACACCCCTTTCTTCTTCGCCTTCTTATTCGACGAAGAAGACGAGGCCGCGGCGGTGGAGGAGGAGGAGGAGAGGAGGGCTAGTTGTTCTGGGGTGAGCGAGTCGTCGCTGCCGCCGCCGGAGATGACGTGCTTGAAGGAGGACACCAGGATGGCGTCCTCCTCCTGCTTGGTTATGCGGCTAGGAGAGGAGAACGCGGTGTAACCGTTAAACTCTGACATTGAAAAATTGGGAGGAAGGAACGCAAAGTTGCTCGACTGAAAGGAGAGGCAGCGCGGGAAAATCTTCAATTGGAATATTTTTTGTTTGGGTGTTGGAGCGGAGGCATTGGCGAAAAGAGGGGATGGTTATAAAAGGGCGGGGGAGGATGGGTACACGTGGCTGATAGAGTGCCAGCTGGCGGGTTGGGACTCGGGATGGACACGGTTTTGTCCAGCGTGGACACTTTCGGTAGTGGTTTCGTTCCCGTACGAGGATGAGTTGAGCGCCGATGTCAGCTAAGTGATGTATAAAGTGGTTGATGCGACGTGTCGTTTTGGATTTTTCTGAAATTCAGGGAGGAAATGATTCGTTTGGATTTTTTTCCCTTTCTGGATTCAAATGCATTCCCACGACGAGATTTTATTTTATTTTTGGTTTTAAGTGGAGGCTAGCCTGGTTTATTTCATCCATATTTGGGAATTCAGGAGAAGCCAATTTGTAGTTTAACACCAGAAAAATAAGTTACCATGCTCAACGAAAAAGAGATTTTCCCATAATTATGGTTTATTATGATTGTGTTATCTTCAATAAACTAATGCAACCCCTTATAATTTTTTTTATTAAGGATACCATAGTTCATTCATTATTTCTAATATTTAATTCAAAGTCGAACGAAAACTCATAAAAATTGTTCCATCCAAATCAGTCATTGCTTGTTAGTATTGAACCGAGCAAAGCACTTTATGGATGATGCACATGTAATTATGTTCGAAGTTGATATTTCCGTCTCTAATTTTCATATGTCCTCTTTTGCAAGACATTCTTCATTCTAATTTCGACAGGATTGGAATTAATTAATTCAGCCAAGTCAACACAAAACACGAGCTTCCGGCATATATGTGCACAACATGTTAATATACCCCTTAGTGAGCTGAGTACACATTATAAGTACAAAATTTTAGGTGGAGAAAGACACATTACGAACCATAAGTAGGGGCTAGCTATAACTCCCAACTTCAAAATATAGATTAAATTACAAGTAAAATTTGTAATAAGTTCATAAAATAAATTTGTCGGCGAATCTTTAGCCCTTTCTCCAATTACAAAAGTCCAAATTCATCGAGGTTAGATATTTTAACCTTGTTAAAATTTTTCCACTCCACCACTATTAGAGACTGTAGCATAAATCGGTGGCGGAGCGGCGGAGCCAGAAATTTGAACAAAAAGGCTAGCTTGAATTGTCATTGAATAGAGGCTTTAACACTTTATCAGTTATTCAAATTTTTAAATTTGTACAAAATTTCATTTTGCTTATATTCCAAAGTCAAGAGAGCTACATCCCCTCCTATCTTCAACCTGACTCAGATCCCTCTGTTACCGAGCTGGGGAATATATGTGAGCACATAAGAAGATCACTTGATCCACATACTAGGCGAACCATTGGATTTGCTCGTCGAACAGCAAATGAGGCAGCACGCTTGCTGACTAAGTACGAGACTAGATGGAATGAGCCAGTTGTTTGGGTTGACAGACCGCCCATGATCCTGATTGATCAGCTTCGGCTGGATGATGTAAGAGCAGTCTCTGATTAATAAAGCTTCTCAGCAGGTTTTCCATAAAAATAAAAATAAAAACCTCACTCAAATGTTATCCAACCACCGGAAATCAAATAATTGTTTTGGACCGCTTCCCATTATTTTGGACCGGTACCAATTGGCGCGGGGCGTGGAAGCCGTAAACAAAGAGCTTCTTCTAATTACCGGCGGGCGCGTGGCGTCCTTTATGTGTGTACATACACAGTGCGAGTGGGTGTCATCCGGTGATTGGTTCGCTGAAGACTATGGTCCTCTCTTGTCTGCAGAGTACAGACATCGAACCACACGGCCCATCAAATACAAGTAGAGCCGTAGAGGCACGCGCCAGCAATTCTGCAAACGTTACTACACAGAAAGCTCCTTGCTGTCTGTCTGTCTGTCCACTGCACTATTGCTGCCTTTTTTCTGTTTTTTTCGTACCATACAGTAGTGAGAACAGTCCTTTCTTCCTAGCCTCCAAAAGACCAAAAACAAAGACTCCGTCAAATTTAAGCAGGACTCCAAGTCTCCAATGTGGACGGTGGCTAGACTAGTGGCTGGCTAGAGTACTACACTGAAACCAGCAGATTTCTTCAGTTTTTGACTGTCCAAGTTCGATCTCGCTCCACCGGCATCTTCCCACCGCCCAACTCCGGCGTACAGGTTGGACAACGCCACATACGATCCTGAACTCGCACGTTCCCTCCCCGACGACATCATCATCGTGTGATGAACTCTCTCTGCGACTTCCACGTCTCCATAGACTCTGCAGGCTCCCAGGAGCGACTCGAGCAGGTCGATTATCCGCGGATGATCACCGACGTTCCTCACGATTTCAGAAGCCTCCATCAAGTGCCCTGTTCTTCCCAACAAATCGACCATACAACCGTATTGCTCGATTCTCGGCTGCAGACCGGTTTCCGCCATGGATTCGAACACCATCAGCCCCTGACGAACTAGACGGGCGTGGCTGCAAGCGGACAGAGTGGTGGAGAAGGTGGTGTGATCTGGTCTGAACCCTGAAGATTTCATTTTGAGGAAGAGCTCCACAGCGGATTCTCCGTCGCCATGGAGGCCGTACCCATTGATCATCACGTTCCAGGATCCGGCATTCTTTTGTTGGAATGAGTCGAAGACCATGCGAGCGGTGGAGATGTTTCCAGTTTTGGCGTAGGAGTCTATGAGGGCGTTGTTGATGGATGTATCTCTGCCGAACCCCTTCTTGATGAGAACGTAGGCAGTGATCGAATCGATGAGATTCTTCGAGCTGTTGAGTTGATAAGCTGCTGATATCAAGCTCAGAAGCGTGATGTGATCTGGTTGCAAGCCCATCTCAACCAATCCGTGGTGGAAGAGCTCCAATGCTTTCTCTGGGTTCTGGGTCTGGATATGTGCAGAAATAATCGCATTCCATGACGATACATCGGTACATCTCCGACTATTGAATAGGGAAGTGCAGGATTCGATGCTTTCGAATCTGGAATATGCAGAGATTAGAGATGGAAGGAGAGGGATTTCTTGTGAAGGAAGAATACCTCTCCTAACAGCATAAGCGTGAATGGACTTGATTTGCCATAAGGAACAGCATAAGGGGAGCAAATTTAGCAAAGTCACGGAATTTGGCCACTGATTCTCTGCAATCATTCGATCCAAGAGAATCCAGACCTCGTTTATTCGATTGTGATTGATATAGCCAGATACCAGGGAGTTCCAGGAAACCACAGACTTTTTCGTCATAGCTTCGAAAAGCCATCTTCCAGTCTCCATTTCTTCTCCTTCTTCACACTTGCAGTACATTGTAATCAGTGCATTGACCAAAGAGACGTCAGAGTCAGCCCCACTCTTGACTGCATAGCAATGGATGGCCTTCCCATCATACAAGTTTCCACAAATGGGAAGAATGCTTATTAGGGTGACCATATCCTTTCTCATTCCTTCCTTCTGCATCTGTTGAAGAAGACAAATCGCTTCTTCCACTTCTCCTCGGCGGACTCTGGCAGAAATCATGGTATTCCATGATATTATATCCCTAGATTCTTCACTTCTTTGAAACAAGTTAAAACAATAAGCCATGTGGTCGCATTCAGAGTAGAACCCCAGAAGTGCGCTTGAAACGTTGATCCTCGAATCGATCCCCTTTCTTATGCAGAATCCCTGAGCAGACTTGGCCTCCATTAATTCACTACATGCAGAAAGAACACTGACAATAGAAGCTGCATCTGGGGATAACCCAGCTAACTGCATTTCACGAAATGCAGCCCTACTTTTATACCATTGCCCACTGCGAGCATAACCGGAGACCATTACGTTCCATGACAAGAGGCTCTTGTAAGGCATGGAACTAAACAGCAACTCAGCTTTACTTATATCCCCAAGCTTGGCATACATTGACAGAAGTGCTGTTGTTACTGGAATCTTGAGTTCTGATCCATGTTTGATGACAAAGCCATGGAGAGATTCACCGAAGGAGGATGACTCGTTAACATGGTCGCATGAAGGGATGATGGACACAAATGTGATCACGTCGGGTTCTAACTCTGCATGGAGCATCTCCTGGAAAACTTCAATGGCTTCTGAAGGCATCTGGCTTTGGGCGTAGGCTGAAATCATGGAATTCCAGACAGCAACATTCTTTCTTGGGTAACAATCATTGAACAGCATTCTAGCAGAAGATAAATGAAGGCCATGCCCACCTGCATACATTGAAATCAATGCAGGGACCAAAACATCTGTGGTGAAGGAACCAGACTTAACAGCATAGCCATGGAGAGACCTTCCAAAGTCCAAACGGCCTGACCTACTGCAGACTGGAATGACAGTCGCCAAAGTGCTTGAGTTAGGCTTTAAACCCAGATCAAACACGCGCTTGAAAACCTCCAAAGCTTCGTGATCGAGTCCGTGGAGAGAATAGCCAGCGAGGAGAGCGTTCAGAGAGACCAAGTCTGGTTGAGGAATTTCGTCGATCAGGGAGCGTGCATGACCAAGAAACCCGCTTTTCGCATAGAAATCGACCAAAGCGGTTCCCACGACTACATTTTCGCCATACCCGGATTTCAATACAAGGCCATGTATCTGTTCCCCTTTCCTGAAAGCACCCAGAATTGTACATGCCTTGATAACAACAGGGAAGGTGAAATCGTCAGACGGGCAGCGGAGAGCGCGGCAATTTTTATACACAGACAGCACGTCTTCGTATAGACCGTAGTTGCCAAGCCCTCTTAGTATCAGATTCTGGAGGGAAACATTTCGTATCTTGCTAGCTGCGAAGGTGGAGAGAGCCAAGTCCGAGGAGCCCGAATGAAAACAACAGCCTAGAAAGTGTTCGACGAAATGCCGGCGACGAATTAGACCTCCAGTTATGAGAATTGACAGCAGCGACTTCAATTGGATAGTGCTGACGTAGTAGTGTGTAAAGAGTTGGGGAAAGATGCTGCTGGGCTGCATTC